ATAGGAATTAACATCTGACAGATTGGGAATTGCCATAGTGTAACTCCCGGGTATGTTGGTTTTAAATATACAATTTTCTTTTAATAAAGCTCATGATGGTCCTGCAAGTTATGGAAAAGTAAGAGGCCTGGACGAAATAATTTTTCTTTTTCTCCTAAAGTAGGTTTTGAAGAGAAAAAAAAACTACTTTAGGAGAAGTGAAAAATTTTGTCCCCCTAGATGTTGACAATACCTTCCCTTCCAAGACACATAACGAAGAGGGTGGTTTGGATGCCTCTATAGAGATCAGCGCTTCTCACGTCAATCACTGAGGATATTGTCTTGAGCATTCGACATCAAAAGGAGTCACAGGGATATCATAATTTGTATAGCAAACTTAATTGATATCTACCGTGTTTCTAAGAATATAGATTCATTACTTTCCTTCGTCGAAATTCGTGACTGTTTTCGAACTCGCATGAGTGTCTTATACATACATACATACATATATATATATATATATATATATATATATATATATATATATATATATATATATATATATATATATATATATGTATATATATGTATGTATGTATGTATGTATGTATATATATGTATGTGTGTGTGTGTGTGTATATATATATATATATATATATATATATATATATATATATATATATATATATATATATACATATATATACATATATATTACATATACACACATACACACACACACATACATATAATGTGTGTGTTGTGTGTGTTCACGCAATCTCATTTTGACACACAGATACACCCGAGCATGTGTGTGCACATATGTATGTATGATGCATGTAGGTACATAGATTTACATACTAAAGCCACGTTATTGTAGCGTCTACATAAACTCTATGGATTATACTTTTTTTCATTATGATGATGATGACGATGATGATGATGATGATGATGAGATGATGATGATGAAGATTGATGATGATGATGATGATGACAATGATGATGATGAATGATGATCATGACCCTCATCATCATCATCATCATAGTGATAAAATGATGAAGATGATGACGATAATCATCATGTGTAAGAGTAGTTGCAATACCGTTATGCAGATCCGTAATGTTGAAATCACAATCCATCATATAATGTTACTGTTGCTTTGGCTTTTTTTTTCGATATTCCGAACTCATAAAAAAACTTCGGAAACACATTCGAATTGTGAAAATAAATCCATTCAATATTTTCGTACATAGAACAGATCTCGTTTCAACACACCATCATACAACGCTTAGAATTTTTTTTAACATATCCTAATTCCATTAAACAAAAAATAGATTTATATAAAACTGAGAATAAAAAGACGAAAAAACGCGCATCAATATTCTATCTGAAACTCACGACTTATCGGTTACCAATCAGGGGGCATTGATATCACACATTGGAAAAGTATCAGGCCATTCTTAGCTGTAAGTGCCCCCCCCCCAAACTCTTTTTATCCGGATGTTTGCAAAAAAAAAAAAAAAAAAAAATAGCATACGCCATTCATTATTTCAAGAAGATAATGAAAATAAGGCAGATAAAGGGTGGGTGGGGGGAGAAGATAAAGTTAGTGATAAAAGAGACAAGGATAAGGGAATGAAACAGAAGGATTAAAGAACGTAGAATCATTTTTGCGCAAGTGTTGTTCGTATGGAGGAAGAACGAAATAATAAGCAAAACCTCATTTCATTACAATAAAGGGGGGGGGGAGAGAGAAGATAAAGTTAGTGATAACAGAGACAAGAATAAGAGAAAGAAACAGAAGGATTAGAGAACGTAGAATATTTTTTGCTTAACATGTTGTTAGTATGGAGGAAGAACGAAATATTAAGCAAAACCTCGAAAAGGGAATAAAGAAGACTAATAGAGATATATTCTTTAGTTAAACCACGTCAGCAAATTCCTCATTTCCTGCAGCATATCAGATGTATGGAAATGCGCATCTCGGAACGGCGACATTGCTAAAACGGATCCCCTCTTTAATGTCCCTCACGTAAAGCAAGAATGGAAGAAGAAGAAAAAAAAGACACGCATGACAATCGCAATAATCTCCAATAAATAAGGATGATAATAAGCTTAGGACCCGAAGGAATCTGTCCCCTTCGCCCCTCCCTCTCCCTCTCCCTCCCTTTCCCCCCTTCCCTTCCCCCCTCCCTCCCTCTCCCTCCCCTTCCCTCCTCCCTCCCCTCCCCTCCCCCCCTTTCCCCCTCCCCCTCTCCCTTCTCCCCCTTCCCTCCCTCAAGTCCCCCACACAAGACCGATTATAGCTTTTATACTGATTGCACCGAGACACATTATGAGTAGGGTTTTCGCTGCGAAATAATTTTCATGAGAAAGCTCCCCATTCGCGTGTCCTGTAAACAACAAACTCCCGAGATATCTCACTGTGTTTGCAATGGCATCGCAACGCCCGCTTGCATCTCCAGACAGTTAGCTCCTTCAGACGGGCTCTCCCTCTGCAGACGCTAATAGTGATGGAACGCTGGAAGTAATTATCTTTATTATTCGCATGATAAAGTGTACATAATTTGCTTAGAAGGCGGAGATGGAAAAGGTTTTTTGAAATGCCTGAGTGAATATGTATTTATTTTATGTTTTTCTTTTGGACAGATTTAAAGGAGAAAGGATATATTTTCCTACATCAAATGGATTCATGGATGTCTCTATGAACATGAGAATAAACGGACAAATTTCTGAAGAAAGATGAATGAAAAATAATAAAGCGAATATACAAGCAAACTAGCTTTGAGTGTGTGTGTGTGTGTGTGTGTGTGTGTGTGTGTGTGTGTGTGTGTGTGTGTGTGTGTGTCTGTGTGTGTATGTGAGTTAAATAGAAACTGAATAATAGTATTTCAAAAATTTTATATCTCTTGGATAAGCTGACATCAAACAATTAACAATACGTATCAAAACAGGCTGAATCCCAGCTTTCACGCGAATGTTGAAGAGAACATGAGCTTTCTATTTCGAAACAATTTCTCATGTACATTTTTCTTTACAGCTGGACAACTCCAAGTGTAAAACCTACGCTAGATAAATATAAATATAAGAAAAAAAAAACAAATCAGATGTGTAAATAGACAGACAGGAATAATGAAAAGAAAAAAATAAAGAAAAAAATACATACAACCGAAAATATCACCAAATAAACATTTAAACGAAATAAATGTCCAACGGAGAGAGCCGCCAAGGGTCGAAGCCCGAAAAGAGAAATTGCTTCATATCGAAATATCTTAAAGCTGAGACAAGGCCAGCTCCGCCGTTTAAGAAACCGTAGGTCAGGCAGAACCACTTTGTCTTCGACGGGGGAACACTGTCGGACTTTTAAAATGAGGGAGAAAAACGTAGATAGAAATACTTGGGGTCAGAAGGGTAGAAAAGTCATGCTTCGCGTTTCGAAAGGTTTCGAGTCAGAGTGTAATTGTTGAATATTGACAACATTAAGAAGCAAATCGCAGCTCTGAAAGTTTTCGTTTGAATATACTTTGTGAAATTGCATGCCTGTTTCGCAATACAGCAACTATGAGGAATTGTTTGAAAAGGAGTCAAGAGAAAATAAAATTGCACAATTGTGTTTGCGAAAAGGGAGTAAAAACAACGTACTTGCTGAGAGGGAAGCCTGTTCTCTAAAAGAAAAAAAATGCATGAATACGTAAGATGGGAGAATGCAATTACACATTATATATAGAAAGTTATGTACCTTCCCCGACGAGAATTCGAACCCACGCAAGCACCAGTGAGAGCAGAACGAACCAACTACGCATACTTTTTTACGTCGAGGGTGTAGTGGTTCGCGTCTGCTCTCCTGTGAGAAGGGTTCGAGTCTTCGTCAAGGAGGCTAAATATAGATTTCAGTGAATACGTGTTTGCGACGGACAAGTAAAAAAGCCTTAAGGAGAAAATGACGTCCGAATCGTAAGATATACGATTCCGGTGACAGCGGGATTCGAATCTTTAAAATAAGGTATTCGAAACCATAACGAAAAACTAAATCAGCTCTTTCAAATATGATATAAGAAAACTGATTTCGATTATGGAATATAGAATTAACGTGGAAAAAACAAAGAAAATCGGTCGAAACCACAATACGATTTTAGAAATGCTTTCATTTGGTAATGTTTTTGAGAAAAAAAAAAATCTCATTTCTCAATTATAGGAAAACGGAAACTCATTTCCCCTTCTACAGTGTTTTCTTACGAACAATATATTATCATAATTATTTTTATTACTACTATTGATTACTATCATCATTATTATCATTATAAGTATTATTATCATTATTAGTATTATTATCATTATTATCATTATTATCATTATCATTATTATCATTACTATTACTATCATTATCATTATTATTATTGTTATTATCATTATTATTCCCTTTGTCATTATTATTATTCCACCTTTCTTTCCACTGCAGGACACAGACTTCTTGATCAGTTGTCTAGCATCGCCACCCTTGCCTGACCGGATGCCCTTCCTAGAAGATTCAGATGTTCGACCTTCCCTTGGAGCGAAGATTCAGGACCTTCCCCTTGGAGGCGAGATTCAGATGCTCGACCTTCCCCTTGGAGGGAAGAAGATTCAGATGCTCGACCTTCCCCTTGGAGGCGAAGAAGATTCAGATGCTCGACCTTCCCTTTGGAGGCGAAGATTCAGCTCGACCTTCCCCCTTGGAAGCGAAGAATTCAGATGCTCGACCTTCCCCTTGAGGCGAGAAGATTCAGATGCTCGACTTCCCTTGGAGGCGAAAGATTGCTCGACCTTGGATTTCAGATGCTCGACCTGGAT